CCAGGAGAGCCTACGGGAAACCCGAGAAGAGGAGGATTCATGCTGCTCTGTGCAAAACCACTGCACACAGCAGGTAAGTATAGCATGTTTGTTATCCCCCCCCCCCAAAAAAAATGAATCTTTAGAATTGCTTTAAATATCTTTTATTGGGTACAAGTTCAATCACATATCTGATGCTAGATGGGATAAGTTCTTGATCCTTTTTATTAATAATCACAAGTTCTTTCTTTCAACTGAACTATTTGGAGTTCCCAAGGGGTTTAATTAGCTGCATAGTCAACTTGCCAGAGAGAAGCTTTTACTGCATCAATGCAGCAGAAAAGTCGGGCGAGGTGTGTCAAGGTGTTGTCGGGCATATTGTAACCGGACTTTTTTTGTGGCATTGGCTCAGTAAAGGCTTCTTTCTGGCAACTCAACTATGCAGCTCATTTTTATTCAAGTATTATCGTATTGTGCTCCTTAAAAAACCCACACCGTCCTTTTCCAGGACAGCCTGTATTTCTCCTGAGGTTAAATGGCAAAATTTCACAATTTCTGCCAGGGTAGGCAAACTTTTGAGAACAACTGTATGTTTTTTATACGAGTGTACACACGGAACACAGTGATGTATACTCAATACATAGTCAAAAGGATGGTACAGTGTGAACAGGCACTAAATCCAAGGTATACTTACAGTCCATGACATATCAGGTGCAGGATACTCTTCATCTTTTGGTCTTTACAAATGCTGGATGGTACTGACTACTGCAGAGATCAAACACTCATATCATAATAAAATGCTCACAGGGAGTGGGCAAAATCAAACTGGGCATCATTCAACCCAGAAAAGTGACCCAGGTCAGAGTCTGAGGGGTCTTGGGTAATACAGCCAGAACTGCCTTTTTTTTTTTTTTTTTTAACAAGACCGAGGGCTTGGCAAATTTAACTGAATGTGTGATCAAGCAATGCATTACTAGAGGTTACCTTCAATTAAACCTGCATTGCAAGGCAATGTGTGGATCCAGAGATCCAGGCAGCTGCATTCTTATGAAAAGTTCTGCTTTATTATAAAAACGGAGTTTGATCCTACCCTCTCTGGTATCCCTCTACTAGTCCTTTAATGTGATGGTAGCCTTAAAGTGAACTTGTGCCCAGACTATACTGTACAGATTAAACAATTTACCTATTCTAAACAAGCATTAAAAGAACTTTAAAACAAGCCTAACCTAGACACTGAAATCACAGCTCATCTGCCTTTTACTTTCTATGGAGAATAGGAAAATGGCAGCAATCCAGACTTTCAAATTTAATTAAACACAGCAGGTGCTTGTAAGCTGTAGGAAACTAACTGAAGCCTGACTCAGAGCAGGGGTATTAAATTAAAATTTATGGAGGTCCTGTGAGTAAAACTGTCTTCCAGCAGAGGTCTGAATATAATGTTTATGACTCAGATCCTTCACTCACAGCACCCCCTCCTTTACATCACCCCCCCCCCCCTTTAGATCAGTGTCATCAGTCACCCGTCCTTACATCAGTGTCCTCATTCCTTCGTTCATACCTATTACATCAGTGTCCTCAGCCCCCCCCCTTTACATCAGTGTCATAAGCCCCCCTTCACATCACAGTTCCCCCTTTACATCAGTGTCCTCATTCCTCTATTCACATCACAGCCCCCCTTTTACAATAGTGTTCTCAGCTTCCCCTTTACATCACAGCCTCCCTTTACTTCAGTGCCCACATCCCCCCTTTGCATCACAGAACCCTTCACATCACAGTCTCCTCCCTTTACATCAGAGGGACATCAGTCTCTCCTTCCCATAACAATATTTCTTTACATCAGTGTCCTCAGCCATCCCCCCTTACATCACAAACCCCCTTCACATATCAGTCTTTCCTTCACAGCAGTGTCCTCTGCTTTCTCTTCACGTCACATTCCCTCACTTTACATCAGTGTACTAAGCCCCCCCCCCTTCACATCACAGTCCCCCCTTTACATCCATCTGCCCAGCCACCCTTCATGTCACAGCCCCCCCTTTACATCGCTGTCCCATCACAGCACAGCCCCACCCTTACATCACAGTACCCTTTATCCCCTCTTTACAGCAGTGTCCTCAGCCCCCCTGCACATCTCAGATCCCCTTTACATCACAGTCTCCTCCCTTTACGTCACAGTCTCCTCCCTTTACGTCACAGTCTCCTCCCTTTACGTCACAGTCTCCTCCCTTTACGTCACAGTCTCCTCCCTTTACATCACAGTCTCCCCTTTACAGCAGTGTCCTCAGCCCCCCTTCACATCTCAGATCTTCCTTTACATCACAGTCTCCTCCCTTTACATCACAGAACCCTTCACATCACTGTCCCCCCTTTACAGCAATGTCCTCGGCCCCCCTTCACATCTCAGATCCCCTTTACATCACAGTCTCCTCCCTTTACGTCACAGTCTCCTCCCTTTACATCACAGTCTCCTCCCTTTACATTACAGTACCCTTTACATCACAGTCTCCCCTTTACAGCAGTGTCCTCAGCCCCCCTTCACATCTCAGATCTTCCTTTACATCACAGTCTCCTCCCTTTACATCACAGAACCCTTCACATCACTGTCCCCCCTTTACAGCAATGTCCTCGGCCCCCCTTCACATCTCAGATCCCCTTTACATCATAGTCTCCTCCCTTTACATCACAGTCCCATTCACATCACAGCACAGCCCCATCCTTAAATTACAGTACCCTTTACATAACAGCTCCTTCCCTTTACATAGTTATATAGCTGGTCAGAAAAAAAAGAAGACAAGTTTATCTAATTCAACCAATGGAAATTAAAATATGGAACCAACAAATAACACTCCATATACACAATCCTATACCCACAGCTGCTCCAGCAGAAAGCAAAAACCCCAGTAAAGCATGATCCAATTTGCTCCAGAAAGGAAAAATATTATTTGTGTTTCCCTAGGAGACAATTGGATATTCCCTGGGTCAACTATCCCTGGAGTTCTTACCTATAAATGTTAGTATCCAGCTATATTTCGTGCATTTTGGAATGCATGCTCTTTTTTATAACAATCCACTGAGCTGGCCAGAACTAGTTAATGAGGCAGTCTATTCCACATTTTCACAGCTCTTACTGTGAAGAAGCCTTTCTGAACATGAAAGTTAATATTTTTTTCTCCGGATGTAAAGAGTGCCCCTTATGTAATTATCATGAGTATGACTTGAGGCTGTCCTTAGTGTCAACATCCCAAAATTATCTATACAGAACAAAATATTGCAGGTGTGAGGAACTTTCAGGGCACTTGATTCCACACACAACCAAAAATGTAAAAACAATTAAGTCTGTATTATCATGACACTGAAACTAAGCATAGATAAAAGATCATTTGTAGACTGTCCATCAAACGTATATTCATACTCTTCTAAACACAGATGTACAATTATGAATTGTTCAAACATTAATATAGCATCAATAGTACCCAGTGCATTTCCAGTATTGCTCTTCCTCAGGGGCATAAGTTGAATCTGGCTGTCAGGACTAGATAAACATCAGAAAAATAATTATACCAAAAATAATGACAACATATGAAACACAATCAATGTTATACCATGGTAAGATGAAACTTACAATGTCAGTGAAAGGTAAGTGGACAGCTGCCTACAAACAGTTTTTATAATTTAAAAAAGGTAACTTAGATGGTGAGATCCCGTAGGGATCAAACCCAAATGGGGAAGGGACAAGAGTGTACGCAGAGACCTCCGCAGCAGCAACAAATACAAAAAAAACATATGCCATACAAAATGACTCAGAGCATAAATCCAAGTAAAAAAATAAAATATATGAAATATTAAAAAAATACAATAAAATAACATATTAAACAAAAATTAACAACAACTAACTTAAACGCCATAACCCCCTTGTCCTCTGTAATGACCTAAAATTCATTACCTGTACACCAAGTTAGCAATCCCACATCACAAGCAAGTCAGATTTTGGGCATCCCCTGGAACAAAAATGTAATTTTTCCTAAAATACTCCCAAAGAGAAATCACATGAAAAGAATGCTGACTCTGCAATTTTCCTCATTAGAGCCCTGCAGGTGCAGCAGCTGACTGATAATTATGAAATCACTCCCATATAGATTCACTCCGCACATGGGCACAGAAAAACAAACAGCTATTTCTTCAGGGTAACAAGAAGTATGAATATGAAACAAGGTTTGATAAAATCTTTGCAATGTACATAGATCATCCAGAGGGGAATTTTTTTTTCTCAACAAAAAGGGGAGTTAGTTACTCTTTAACCGCTTTCCCGCCGCCCTATAGCAGACATACTGCTACAGGGCGGCAGGGGTGCACAAAATCACGTATATATATACTTGATTTTGCATTTGTGGGTAGGGGGTGTGCTGTCAATCACCGGGTCCTGGCTGGTGACTACCAGCCGGCGCCCCGTGATTACCGAGCATCTCCGACGGGGAGGAGGATTGTTTTGTTTATTATCATTCCACCTCCTTGTCAGCTCGGGCACACTGCTCTGATTGGCTGTGCGCAGTGTGATTACAGTGAAACACACAGACACAACCCCCCAGTAAAACACTCCCTGCACACAGTTAACTCTTTGATCGCCCCTAATGTTAACCCCTTCCTACCCAGTGCCATTAGAACAGTGTCAGTGTTTTTTTTAGCACTGATCACAGTATTGGTGTCACTGGGGATGTCAATGACACCAAGTCAGTTCCCCCCCCCAGTGTGAGACTGTCCGCCACAGTCCCGCATTCCCACTATAAGTCGCTGATCGCTGCCATTACTAGTTTTTTTTTGGCAAAGACGTAGCAGAATATATTTTGGCCTAAATTTCTGACGAAATTTGATTTTTTAAATTTTTTTACTGGACATGTTTAACCACCTCCCGCCCGCCATATAGTAATATGACAGATGCAAGGTGGTTCTCTTGTTCTGGGAGGACGTCATATGACGTTCTCCCAATCTCACCACGCATGCATGGCTCAGGGAGCGCGCAGCGCGGCGATCCCTCGGACACAGCGGATCACCGATCACAGAAAGAGCCGAGGATGTCGGCTTGGTCATGTGATCAGCTGTGTCCAATCACAGCTGATCACATGTAAACAGGGAAATGCCGCTTATCGGCACGCTGATAGCTCGAGAGGAGAGCTGGTAATCGGCATTCCTCGGAGGGGACATCTACATGGTCATCAGGGCACTGATGATCAGTGTGCCCTGATGATCAGTGTAGCCACAGCAGTGCCACCTCTCAGTGTCCATCAGTGCCTTGTGCCAGTGCCCATCAGCGCCACATCAATGCCACATATTGGTGCCTACCAGTGCACATCAATGCCACATATCAGTGCCCATCTGAGCTGCCTTTCAGTGTCACCCATCAGTGCCAGTCAGTGCCATCTATCAGTGCCACCTATCAGTGCTGCCAACCAGTGCCACCTATCAGAGCCAGTCAGTGCCGCCTATCAGTGCCAGTCAGTGCCGCCTATCAGTGCCAGTCAGTGCCGCCTAACAGTTCCAGTCAGTGCCGCCTATCAGTGCCATATATCAGTGCTGCCTTTCAGTGCCCATCAGTGATGCTTGTCAATGCCCATCAGTGCCACCTACCAGTACCTCCTCATCAGTGCCCATCAGTGCCACCTATCAGTGTCCATTAGTGCAGCCTATCAGTGCCCATCACTGCAGCCTCATTAGCACACATCAGTGAAGGAGAAAAATCATTTATTTACAAAATTGTATAACAAAAACTAAGAAAAAACTTTTTTTTTTCAAAATTTTCAGTGGTTTTTGGTTTGTTTAAGAAAAACTGTAATTAAAAAAATGATAAAAATTTCATATGGGTACAGTGTTGCATGACTGCGCAATTGTCATTCAAAGTGCGACAGCGCTGAAAGCTGGAAATTGGCCTGGGCAGGAGGGTATAAGTGCCCAATAGGCTTGTGGTTAATGGCAAAAAGTCAAAAATATTGTTTTTTTTCTCAAAATTGTCGGTTCTTTTTTATACAATGCAAAAAATAAAAAAGCACAGGCGACCAAATAACACTGAAAAAAAGCTCAATTCGTGGGGAAAAGGGACATAAGTTTCATTTGGGTGCAGCGTTACATGACCACGCAATTGTCAGTTAAAGTAATGCAGCGCCGTAACGCAAACAATGGCCTGGTCAGGAAGGGGGGTAAATCCTCAGGAGGACAGGTGGTTAACTTAATAACCTATGTTTTTTGAAAACATACTTTTTAATTTTGACCATATACACAGTCCCATTACATTAGGTTTGTAACAGGTTTATTTGTAGAACCCTATACTAAGGGAAATGAAGTCGGCCACTGATGATCTCTCATGAAAATGATACTTTTCTGACCCAAGCTTCAATACTTTGAGTCACTGACATGGAACAGATATGCAGGTCAAGTTGTTTTTAGTTTAGTTTATCTTCCTGCATGCTTTTGGGTAAGAAACTCAAAGTAATAAAGCTAAAGACAGTCAGGCAGCTAAAAATTACAGTCGGTCAGCAATAGTGACCCCTACTCTACTTCTCCTTTTAATATAGCATATTTATCATACCTATCAACTTTTTCAGATTACAAAGAGGGAGACCTAAGTATTAGGTATGCAGATGAAGGATGAAAGACACAAACTTGTGATCCACCAAGCTATGTGGCTCATGAAGAATTTATACACAAAAAAATACTGTTTAAAATCATCATTTTTTGCCATTAATTTTTTATTATACTGTAATTTTAAACAAACAGATGCAATAATTTAGCTGTTGGAAGTATGGTTTACAGCAGTATAACGCTTCTGATAACTATATAGCATGCTTCTTTATAGGGGGTTTATGCATCAGACCAAAAAGGGGGACAAAAAAGAGTAAAGAGGGACAGAGGGATTTGGTTCCAAAAGAGAGTCAGTCCCTCCAAATCAGGGACTGTTAGGAGCTATTGAAGAAAAAAATACAATAGTGCTTAGGTGTCATAGTGCAAGTGCTCTGCTGTACATACAGTATAAAGTAGCAATAGTAGTCCACTTCAATCACCAGTTTGCCTCAGTTGTGCAGCCCTTTTCAGATTGGGGACATCTCAGTAGTAAACACCAGAAAGCAAAAAGAGGAAGCAAAACCGTGTGCATTACCTTTGAAAGAACATTCGAATATATGAATGCCAAAAACACATACACAAGAGCTAAAAAGGCTAAAGACCTCAAAAGGTACAGAGACTCCAAAACTGGCAAAGGAAGCAGGATGCGAGTATTCCCTGTGGTTTGGACCTCACTCATTAAACAGCAAATGAGCTGATGCATTTCGAGGGAGAGACAGGGGGTCAGTTCCCTTGCCTTTTAGTAAGTGATGTTTAGGCAACATGGAGCACTCGCTTCCGGTTTCCTTTGCTAGTTTTGGAGTCTTTGTACCTATGGAGGTCTTTAGTCTCATTTGGCTCTTGTGTATATGTTTTTGGCATTTTATATTCTAATAAACTTTTTTTAAAGGAAATGCACAAGGTTTTGCACCCTCTTTTGCTTTCTAGTGTTTACAGTTGGGAGCGATGTTTTTATGTATTTATTTAAAAAAGTATTTACATCAAACTCAAAGGAGCTTCTCAAATCTACATTTGTGGAGGGAAGAGTTAGAGGGACTGAATCTAAAAGATGGACAGTTTTAGGCTAATTACTAGTATCTTGTAAGATCCTGCTTTTATTCTCAGCAGCTTCCCTTTATACCACCTGTTACAGTGATCTCTGGGTCACAGGTGACTCATACAATCAACATCAAGAGAGAGACAGGCATCTGTGACTGCAGACCCTTCTCCCCTAATGACAGTCATTTGTGTACTAATTAGATCAGGAAAAGGAATGACATGAATGTTGTTTCCGTTTGCAGTGAACATGAAGGCACCTGTTTTGGTAGTGGTTTTTGGTGGGATAATTATATTGCAGAAGGTCTGTCTTTTGTAATTACTGTATACAGTGATATTCCTTATTACATGTAATTATATATATTTTATAAAGTTATTAATGGCTAATTATACTTCTAATGATATACTGTATATTTTCCCTTTATTTTGAAGAATGCTTCTTCTGAAAATCTAGACAGCATTTATCATATTGACACTGCAGCTTTATAGAGTAATAGTCCTTATATTAGATAATACTAAATATTCCCAAACAATGAAAAATTGTATGAATACAAATGTGCTAATAATTTGGGGGATGGTTAAATTACCAATATTGGTTCAGTTGTCTCCAGCGCTGTGCCTCTTTAGGCCTCATGCACACAGTCCTCCTCTTGGAAAAAAAAAACACATGACGCTGGTAAAACTGTCTAACGCTTTTACAAGCATTTTGGCACGTTTACAGGCATAAAGCTCCTGGGTGTTAATTTATTTAATTGGCCAGAATAATAATTTATTCTGGCCATTGAAATTAATTTTCGCTCAAGCACTAAACACACCTAGTGTTAACATGTAGTTAGACGTGTTTATACGCGTCAATCTTTTTTCTGCCAAAATATTGCTGTTCCTGGACTCACTGGCCCTGGGTTTTTTCCTGCATGTAAATGCCCCTGCTAGTAAAAGGTTCTAAAAGTCTATGTGTGCATGGATACATAGGATAACATGGAGGGGCATTTGAAGGCAGTAAAGAAAATAAAAAAAGGCCTCATGCCCCTAAAAGTGTGCACGAGGCCTTAACCTCAGGCTTAACAGATGCACCATACCTTCTACATTTCCAAGACCAGAAAGACTTTTCATGTTAAAGCAGAGTTCCACTCAAAAGTGGAAGCTCAGCTTATTTGCCTCCTCCCTCCCTCCACTGCCATATTTGGCACCTTTTGGGGGGGGGGGGGAGCAAATAGTTGTTTTTGACAGGTACTCGCTCCCACTTCTGGATCAGCTCGCCATGGCGAGATGAGCCAGAAGTTCGGCCTCCTCCTTCCCCCCGCAGTCTCCTGGGAGCCGTCACGGGTTCCAGGGGACTGCTGGACCAATAAGAATGCGCAATGGGCACCTGGCTGTGAAACCACAAGCTGTCACAGCCCATAGTTGTGATGCTGGTGCTGGGGAGAGAAGAGGCAGAGAAGAGATGACGCGGATGAGAACATCGCTGGACCCTTGGACAGGTGAGTGAGTGTTTATTAAAAAGTCATCAGCTACAGTTTTTGTAGCTGCTGACTTTTAATAAACACAAAACTGACTGGAACTCCACTTTAATGTTCCTCTTTCTTGCAGCAACAGACTTTACCACCCCTCTGAAAAGTATTTAAGATATACACTGCTCAAAAAAATGAAAGGAACTGTGAGTGATTTCAGGCAAGAAGAATCGCGATCGGAAATGTGCATGCGCATAGGAATTCCCGCAGAAGAATTGCCGGTTGTGCGCTTGCGCACAGGAATGCGCGATCGCGCACATGCACAAGCACGGTGAAGATTGGCGCCAGATGGCCTATTTAAGGAGTGCCTCTGCTCATGTTCAGTGCTGACTGGTCTTCAGCTCCCCCCGTGTCCTGCTTGTTCCTGTACGATTCCTCCATTACCGACCCGGCTTGTTCCTGACCCGACTTCGATTACTCTCCTGATACTGGTTCCTGGCTTCGGCTCTGCTCCTGACCTTGGCTTTTCCTTCTGATTCTGTACCGTGCTGCCCGACTGTTGATGACCCTGGCTATTCCATGACTCTGCTCCTGTCTCTTGTCCTCACTACCTGCCTTGCTCTGCTGCACGCCTGGCAATCTACAAAACCTGCTCTTCCTATTACTGCGGTGCCCAAATCAGAGGATAATCAGCCTTCCAAGGTCATCATCCGCAAGAGCTGCAAACAACAACCACTGGCGCTTTTGTCCCCCTGGTCCCCAGACTCCCTCTGTTCCAACTTCAGCAGGGTAAGGGCTAGTGACACAAATGAGGCCGACCTCGTCAATTGGTTGTCTGGAGAGATCCTCTTCCCTTTGGAATACTGTCTGAATCACTGTATCCCTAAAGAAACAAGTGCAGCAACCCCTCTACTTAGTATTCACTCTGATCCCGAGACCATGAAACTCGTTCCTGTGGTGTACCATGAGTATCTGGACGTATTCAATAAAAAGAGTGCCAATACTCTTCCTCCTCATAGTTCCTATGACTGTAACATACCTGATGGAAGACTGAATTGACGAGGTCAGCCTCACTTGTGTCACTAGCTCTGACCCCGCTGACGTTGGAACAGAGGGAGGCAGAGCAGGTTTTGTAGATTGCCAGGCATGCAGCAGAGCAAGGCAGGTAGTGAGGACAAGAGACAGGAGCAGAGTCATGGAATAGCCAGGGTCATCAACAGTCAGGCAACACGGTACAGAATCAGAAGGAAAAGCCAAGGTCAGGAGCAGAGCTGAAGTCAGGAACCAGTATCAGGAGAGTAATCGAAGTCGGGTCAGGAACAAGCCGGGTCGGTAACGGAGGAATCGTACAGGAACAAGAATGACACGGGGGGAGCTGAAGACCAGTCA